TAGAATGCAGTGACGTAATCTGTCTTTTTTAAATTGACTAAAACTTATATTTTTTTTTAAATACGATATTTTGTATATTATTTTATTTTCCTTGTTACGAGCTTTCTAAAATACTTATTTTCATAAACGGGGTAAAAATGCATTATTTAACTTTATTACATAGTTGGCCGGTTTAAATTAGGTAAATCAAAACAATCAACTAATTTATTCGACGTAAAATGTTGGTTATTGGCATGTTATTTAAAAGCAGCACAAGTTCAGTTTCCGTGTAGTTTATCAAAATATCACGATGCAAAGCAAAATTATCTGGTAAAATTAAGTTAAATAAAATAAGAGCCGTATAGCAGTTTAGCAGTACCTAAATAAATAAATATAGAGTATATTATAATTTTCGAAAGCTCATAACAAGGCAAATAAAATAAAAAATAATATATTATAGAGTGTCTTGTTTAAAAAAAAGAACATTAGTTTGAGTCATTTTTCGAAATAGACAGCTCCCAACGAAGAACCACTTTCGTCACTGCCATTCTACCTATAAAACGAGACACGGGCGGTGGGTAAGTACTCAATGGGTAGAACAAAACAAAATCAGGGTATCCGGTATATACCTGTACATTTAGATGAACAGTCTAATTTTATAAAGGTATTTCAACGACCGCATAGTAAATACCCGGTATAATACCAGTAATATCAGAAATACGAGTATATCTACAATATTTCTTATATATATTGTAGATATTATATATTGGTATATTTCTATTTCCGGTATTATACCGGGCATTTACTATGCGGTCGTCGGAAACTCCTTTTATTAAAATTAGGATGTTCATCTAAATCTACAGGCCTATACATATATACCCAGATTTTATTTATCTACAAATTGGGTACTTACCCACCGCCCATCATTGACCCTTTTTACCTTTAGTTATAAGATAATCGAGATACAAAGATTATCGAAAAATGCAAAAATTTCTACTAATTAAAAAATAAAAAGTAAAAGAAAGAAATAAGAAATAACTTTGAACTAAGAAGGCTAGGATAAATATGTGTGTAGCATATTTAGTTTCATAATAAGTAGAACAATGATGTGAAAACAGCATCTTTATATCTCTACTCATAAACCAGAAACCCCATAAAACATACAAAAATGGGACATCCTGTACATCTAGCAATCGCCAGTCGATATAAAAATAATTCACACACAATAGTCTAAAAAATAGAAGAAAAAAACAAGTCTTCATATTTGTGAAAAAATGCATGTCCATATTTAACGTTTAATTAGTATGTCATATTTCATGGTTTCGATATAAATTACATAATAAACTTTACTCCATTGTTGACTCGCCTTGTACATTCATACTGATATACCTTGTACATGATACTGAAATATTCGGATTTATTAAAAAATATATATTATTAAAATTCAATTTTTATTTTTGACACGACAAAGAATTGCAGTTTTATAAAATAAAAATTATGTGCCTTTCCGATTTTTTAAAAATTGTAGAGGTTACTAGATATTTCGTATTAAACATGTAGCTGCTATATTAAAAATATTTTGTGTGTTGTTGCATAATTGACTAGTTTCCAAGCATCGAATGGACGAAGGAAGGAAGCGAAGGGACGAAGGAACGCGAGGAAGTAACGCGAGGAAGTAAGGCGAGGAAGGGACGAAGGAGCGAAGTGTGAGTATGGGGCTTTATTATAGAAATAAAGATTCCATTAAAAACATAGAATGTAAAAAAATGCTAAGTCTCCGAACGCAATTCTTCCACTATAAAAAGTTGTGAGATCTCATGTAAAACCAACCGAGTTTATTTTATTTAGCTTCTATTGAAGCACCTATGCAACGATTTTGTTATAAATTGTTACTATCAATATTAGACATCTTTATTTTTGTAATAATAATTATAGGGACTTGGACCAATCCAATCAACCCAACCCTACGTCATGAAGATCACTGCGAATGTTTTTCCATTTAATTATGTATATGTGTTGCGTACACACTAGGGCGCACGCCACCCCACGCCATCCCACACTATCGCCACGTGTGATGGGCGATTCGTCTGTCCCAGATCTCATGTGTACACTTTTTCCCACGCCGCAACACGTGGGCTCACGTGAGCTGGCGTGGGATAGCGTGGCGTGGCGTGGCGAGTGGTCTAATGGGATCCCGGCTTTAGTAATTTTTAGAAATACATCGTATATAATATAAATACATAACAACACCAAATTATATCAACATAACAAAAGAAATCTAAACAACTTGAATATTATGTTTTCTTTAAACACAAATATCATTTAAATTGAACATCTCATGTCTGTACAAAACTATAAAACAAATTGTTCAGATATATTGACAGATTTAAGATTTGTTTATAAACGCTTTGGGAGCAAATGTTCCCGTTAATTACTACTCAACGTTTTTATGGCTTGATTATTTTCCAGATTTGCCATATATTTATTGTTAAATAAACAGAATATGGGTTTTTTTATTTCTGGATTCTTTATATACACTCACCGGCAAAAAAAACCGGCCACTAAAAACTAGTCCAATTTCAAAGTTGGATTTCTCGCGAACCACTCATTAGATTTTGATGTTTTTTTTGTAAATTAATTCCTTCTTAATGGAAAAAAAATCACAAACGCCTCGAAAATCAAATCAAACATCAAAACGTAGGTAAGTTTAATCTGAAAACTAACTAAAACATGAAAATTTAAAAGAAAAAGGTAAAGAAATTTTAAGGGACTAATATCTAGTGTGGCCTCCTCGCTTCAAGATCGCTGTCTTTAGTCGACGTGGCATTGAATCAATCAGGTTTGTTACAAATTCTTGTGGAATGGCATCAAATATTTCTTGAAGTGCAATTTGCAGATCTTGAAGGCTGTCGGATAAAACAGGTCGACGACGATTGCGCCTTTGAAGTTGATCCCACACATGTTTAATGGAGTTGAAATCAGGGCTGCAAGCTGGCCAAACCATTCGTTTAATACCCACTTCGTCCAAATATTCGTTAACTACTAATGCCATGTGTGGTCATGGTCGCGCATTATCTTGCATTAATACGAACCCGTCTCCGATAAAATGAGAATAGGGAATAACAACGTTCTGTAGAATACCCTCAATATATCGATGTGCATTTTTTTTATCCGGTATTTTTAGGTATCGAACACATAACGTTGACTTCGACCATCATCAATTAAAGCCACAATACGAGCAACATCCATCACAGATAATGGCATTTTTTAATTTGACAACCGTTGTTGTTATATTGCAAATAGTCATATATCCGTTTTCGCCTTTGTCGCCTTGATTATTTACACATAAATTTTTCTGCCTGAGAAGCATTTTTCCGAGAGGTTTTCGTTTTAAAACAGCATATCTCCTGTGATTAAAAAAATAAAATGCTCACAAAAGATGAGGCTACAATGTGATTTGATTTAGCAATAGCTACTACAGCTGCTGCACCCTACAGGGTGTTACAAAGTTCGGGCAAAAAACTTCGTCTTATTGTTGTGCCCTGTATATGCTCAAAATAAATTCGGAATAAAAATTTCTGACGTGGCATCTGTTAAGAAGGAATTATTTTACAATTTAAAAAAAAATCATCAAAATCTAATGACTGGTTTGCGAGAAATCCAACTTTGAAATTGGGACTAGTTTTTAGTGGCCGGTTTTTTTTGCCGGCGAGTGTAGTAAATAAGGCTGGAATATAACTAGATGTATTTTTTATCGAATGTCAAGTGTCAGAAAATCATCCATTTTGTCATTTATAAAACTACTAAGTTGATCCAGTTAATTTCGTACCGCATTAGAGTGAAGGGTAGTTTCTTGCCAATCTTATGTGGTACGGATGACTGATTGACCGAATGATCTGGACTGATTGAGACCAGTCGATTTTACAGTTATTGTCATTTGTTCTTTATATTTTTGTTTACATTTAGATTCAAGTATTTTGTATATATATTTCCATGTCTTTCTAGATTTGAATTTATTTATTTATTTTCCCACTTTCGTTTGAAATTTTTCCTTTTTCGTTGAATTTCTATTTTATAAAGTCTAGTAGGTCACTGATTTGCAGTGGACATCAATTGTTTCGAATAAGACGTGCGTGACGTGAGATGTCAATTTCGGAAGATGGCGGAGTTCTAAACATAATTTATTTAAAAATCAATTTTCTGTGTAATAATTTTGGGTCTTATGTCGACACCCATTTTCTTCTTAAGAAAGATTTTAGCAACTGTCACAAATTTACAATAAAAGGAACTAGCCCACCCTGTATATTTACATGAAACCAGTTTTAAGTACACATAAATTAACAAATACAGCTGTTGAGTACAAGCTAACTTTAGAATATATTTTAAGAGTATTACAGATTATGAAAAATTGGTTAAATGCCCGTTAAAATAGAAATTAGACTTAAAAACGGTAATATAAATACAATTAGATAACTTTGTGAAGAACGTTATGCAATATAAAAGAAAGAAAAATATGACTTGTGAATTAGTTATCATTGACTAAAAAGACGGAGTTATAGGAAGGAGTCATAGTAATATTTTGACAGTTATGTCTAACATTTTACGTGACATATTTGAATGCGATTGAAATTTTTTTGGATTGCTTGTGATTTTCTATGTTTATTTTCAGTTATTTCTTTTTTATTTTAAAATTGTTTTTATGAACAGTGCACAAATTTGGAAATACATTTTGCTAGAACTTGAATTAGAGTAAGATTATTGTGAATCTTAGAAAGGGGGGCTTCAAAAATAGATACTTGTGCAGCTTGGGTAGGTTTCGAGAAAAAAAGACATGAAAAATAATGGAACAATTTTATAGCCGTCGACGAGCATACGCGACCCATGTGAAATTGTTCAACTCATGGTACTTGCTCGAAGTCGCGGACGGTCCGCTCCATCTGAAAGCGCTGCAAGTGTTCCGTTTTTTCCTTTTGAGGTACGGAACCCTCAAAATTAGAACAAAAATCTTTGTAAATACTTACTCACAGTTTTATCTACCAGCTTAGTTACAGCTTCATCTTCGAAACAACCAAGAACAACAAAAGACACATTGCTAGAATCAACACTTCTTGATTCTTCTACACAAAACTCTTTATAGTTCTTCCAACTTTCAACGTCCTTAATATATATTATGTTTCGAATAAGCTCAACATTTTCGATATGAAACAGTAAAGGATGGGAATTACTTTCACAAAAAATATTATTCGAGTTAATAACACTGAAAAATTCGAGACTTATATGAAAAATATCTTCTATATTTTTAAGAGTATCTGTTGATGACTTGTTTCGACAAGTATCTTTATAGAGAGCTTCATTTTCTGCACAACACCTTCTCAGACACATGGTGGTATCACAAAACGAGTCTAAAACACTGTGTTTTTGTAAATCTTGAGAAGATTCGATATCCAATGGGACGCAAGCACTGGTTTTTAACAAAATCCACAGAACGAACACTGAAACGATCATGCTGTTTGATTGAATATTTGCAGATGAGTTCGAAAATATAAAAATCCGAGAATAACCGCTCGAGAAGATATGAGAAAACTGAACAAATGGTTAAAAATATCCACGTATTATATTTTCGTGGGTTATTGTTTGTTTATAGGAATTATTAACAGTCATAACGGGATGTGTGTATGGACAGGGACGACTTTAAAAAGCATTATATAATTGGTTTTAGCATTTATCGGTTGAAAAGACAACGTAATATTATCTATATACACCTGGAGAGTATATTTCATACAAAATTAAATATTTATCACTATACTTTAAAATGTGTATGCAATAGTAGGGGAGCCCGGGATGTTAAATGGGGATTTACTCGAGCGTCAGTGAAAATTAGATACCTACCTACTAAAAAAATACAGTGTGTGCACTCTGTGCGCATATTTGAAGTGAAACTTCTTACTAACGGATATTAAATTGAAAGATTTGGAGGACATGTTTGAAAAAGTGATATACAGGGTGGTGACAATTTCGATGCTCAACATTGGCATCTCAGAATCTCAAATACGAATTCGGTTAAATGGGACAAAAGTTGCGTAATTAGAAGTTTGACAAACACCTATGAAGAAAACCCCAGTATCTTGATTGGTTTCGGATTTATGTCAAAAAAAATGAAAATAGTACGTTTATTTTAAATGACAATATCTTCAGAACTATTGTGCCTATTGCAACGTAAATTGGTAGTTTTATATTTTTGACCTCGACCAATTAAATGGCGTTTTCAGAAAATTTCTAGCCTTCTAGATTTCGCACAACAACAGTCAAGTTTTTGTTTTCTTATGGCCGCCATTTTGAATTTTTATACTAGTAGCTACAGCGAAAAAAAGTCTATACGGAGGTAGTTTTATTAATTATTGTGTAAATTCATTAAAAATTTTTTTTTTAAAACTCGCCTAACATCAAGTATGCCTTGGAAATCCATTTGACACTTTATATGTCAGCTAGTTATTTTTTGTTTATTCTATTAAGTGTCAAATCTGGGTGCACAAAAATTGTATAGTGTTCAACACAGGTCCATACAGAATCTAAAATTTTATTGTCAAGAATGCCAGCCCAGACGTTGAAAGAATATCTTATTTGTAGTCTGGTTTCTCTAATTAAATAAGGATTTTCTTTTGCATAATAATGTTTTTTTTTCTGTTAAATGTACCAGAATCTTTAAATAAAGATTCATGCCTCCATAATATTTTTCTAGAAAAAAAGGGCTCTCTTGAACACTTTCCCGAAACCATTTGCAAAATTGTAAACTTCTCTCGTGATCACCAGCATATAAAAAAATATAAACTTGGTACACATTTAAATTGTTGTAAAAAGTTGTGATATTTGTGTTTTTTTTATAATTTTCCTTACATAAGAATCATTTTTTTACTAGCGACTTATTTTACGGCTAGAAGTTTCCGGATTTATTTCAATCTGAGCTGGCACATTAATATCATTATGCCTTTTAAAATATTGCCCTCTTGTTTTTTAAAGCTACCAGCAACTGCTAAATTTCTTGAAATCCTTGCGAAAATAGTACGATGAGGCTGTGTCCTTTCAGGATACAATGTTCTATAACTTGCGCAAGATTCTTAATCGGAATTTTTATTACTTTCTAAGTAAACATCATACGTATCTCGTGTTTCCTTACTTGTGAACATATTGTTGACTATTACACTTTATACTATCTTTATACACTTTACACTATCTACTATAAATGTTTGTGTCCAGATTTGACATTTAATAGAGTAAACAAAAATTAACTTGCTGTCATATAAATTGTCAATTGGATTTCCAAGGCAGACTGGATCTTTTAAGCGAATTTTTAAAAAATCTATTTTTTTTAGTGAATTTACATAATAATGAATAAAAGTTAGATACCAACGAATAGATTATTTTTTGCTCTATCTAATAGTATAAAAATTCAAACTGGCGGCCATAAGAAAACACTTGACTGTTATTGTGCGAAATCTAGAAGGCTTAGAAATTTTTTGAAAACGGCATTTAATTGGCAGAGGTCAAAAATATAAAACTACCAACTTGCGTTGCAATAAATACCGTATGATCGAAAAAAAATGGCGTCCAGTTGGCTGGGAAATGACGATCGATGACATTTCCAATATAAATTTCCATATAAAATGACAGCGATCTTCATTTCATAGCCATCGCTGACGCCGTTTTTTCTCGATCATACGGTACAATAGTTCTGAAGATATTGTCATTTAAAATAAACGCATTATTTTCATTTTTTTGACATAATTCCGAAACTAATCAAGATACCGGGGTTTTCTTAAGGTTTTCTTCATGGGTATTTGTCAAACTTCTAATTACGCAACGTTTGTCCCATTTAACCGAATTCGTATCTATCGTAGTTTCTGAGATGCCAGTGTTAAGCATCGAAATTGTCACCACCCTATATAATGCTGTTTTAAAATAAATATTATTTTCAATTTCTTTCTGTACATTTTCTGTTTCCTCAATAGCCTGCAAATTTTGTGGAATACCACCCAAAATACACACTTTTATGAAAATGCCTAATGATATTAACGCTTAAATTTATTTAAGAAGAAAAAAAGTTTTGAACATAACCTCGTCGGCTGGATAGCCCATTAGCAGCTGTGGCCATTAAATCAATATACTACTACTAAGCTACTAACCTAACTTCGTATTTACAGTGGTCTACCGTAATTTTATTAAATTATACGAATATTCTTGTTGATTATTGGTTTGGAACAGTTTGAAATAAATATGACAGTGTCCTCCAATGAAAATGCGAGTTACTAACTCTCATAATTCTAATTCTGATGATCCTAAAAATGAATAAAGAAATGATCCTGCTTCTGAATAAAGGTAACCGAGTGATCGCTCGAGCGAAATATCACTCCTATTTAAAAATACGGTTTTTCACCCGTCGCTTATTGTAAGTACTCGTTAACGCCAAGCGCCAATCAGTAAGTTGCGTGCGCAGTGATGAGCAAGCGGCGAGCGATTCGCTTGATCGCTTGATTTAGTTTATTTCAAAGCATTTTCGATATAGGTCGTAAAATTTTGCCCTTCAGATACGGATAAATATATATACGCAACGGATAAATATATATAGGGCGTCGTATAAATTTGCTACCTGCAATGTATTTAAAAAATTCGCTCGGCTTTTTATCGAGTATGTCACATTAAAATCGGATTTCAATTTATTTCATTTTAGGATCGCTTGCGTTCGTCGCTTGGTACTCGTCACTTGTATCGCTCGTTCATAATCGAGCGATGTCGGTTATTTCAATAAGCGAGTACTCGAGCGAATTTTCGCTCGAGTTATCCCATCACTAATTAATAGTGCATGCGGCCCACGTGTTTCCGACAATAGACGAATATTAATTTGTTGGATTGCAGGGTGGGGGTAAGGGGTAGAAGATGAGAAAGGAAAAATATTGTTCGAGCGCGTCAGATATTCAAAAGGAATGTTAACCTGCTGAACCTTAAAAAAGCTTCTATTCAAAGGATTGACGATTTGGATGAGCCCAAAAATCTGGTCTGGATATTTTACAGGAATACATAGTTTGCAGGCCCCAATGGATGATTTTAGCTACTAATCCGCAGATTATGTTATTCCCGTCATTCTGGAATGATTTTCTTCGAAATAAAAAAATATCCACGTAAGAATATACAGGTGACGTTTTCTTGCAACTTTGTGACTCTCCCATTTTCTTATATCAATCTTAAATCGTCAGATTATTTAGGCGCTATTTTTCTGCATGTCACCTTACCTTAATCTGACATGCTCGACTTTTTCTTACCATAACTTTTTTTACTACTCTGATCGCCGGCTCTACACGCAAGCCGCTCGCTGTATAAAAGGTTCATGTTACTACACTTAACAGAACAGGGTGCAATGTTTCTCCCGTTATGTTATTCTGGTGCGCTTGAGTTAATCACAAAATCCCCACTTGGGCTCTCCTACTATTTTAGCTTTGTCAATATGAGCCTTATGAGATATGTTCTAGCGGTTTATCTGATTTATCTCCATACAAAATCTTATAAATATATACATTAGCTGAAAAAGTATACTTAACCTTAATTTTAATAAACTAGCTAGTTTAATGTTTTTCATTTTAATCCTTCGTTAATAAGCAAAATAAGTTCTATCATCATTTCATCTGTATTTGTAAGCGTTTTTTTTTAAATATTATTTGTTATACCGGGTGCGTCTCAAAAGTGGCTCACCCCTGTAACTTTTTTATTTTCTCAGATAAAAAAACGAGATTTGGGATTTTAGTATATGACATAAATTAGAATTGATTGACATATTCAATTGTTTTCTGTCACTTCCTGTTTCACCGGAAATGGCTACAACTTTTGATTTTTAAATGGCACCCCCGGTATATTTTAACTTTATTCGATAGAAAATGACACTCTGAAAAGAATGACATATCATATGTCAACTTTTGACATTTTAGCTTAAAGAAAAGACGTATTTTAAATTTCAATCTAGAGGGCCATGGATGTGTTACAAACACTAATTTTTAACCAAGGAGCCTTGGAAAAATAGATTTGAGCTTCTAATGATTTTCGTGTTTTGTCCGGGCCCGTTATAAGATGCCCAAATCGTATTTTTAATCATATCTCAATTTTTTCAAATGGAACAAGGGTGGCTCATTAGCATATTTAGAAAAAGCATTTTTTTACGAATAATTTGGTACCACACACTTGGTATTTTAAGTAAAATTGTCATTATGAACCGCTTGTTATAGTTCAAAAAATATTAAGGAACATTACCAACCTCCATGTTTGACAGTTTTGTTTGACGTTTCAGCTGACACATTTGAATTTGTTTTGAAATTTAGCGTTAATGTTGGGCTTTTGTGTGACTATTTTATGTTATTTTTATTTATTCCACAACTGGTTATGTTTAAATATAGAAAATCTTTATGGATATTGTGTCACAACTTAAATTAACAGTGATATTATTGCGAATTCTGAAAAAAAAACTAAAATTTGTTGTACAGCGTGCGGTAGATCGTGCGGTAAAAATCGAGAGAAATAGGGGGATAACTTTTCACTGATAAGTAACTATACCGGGTCTTTTTCAAAATGAAATGTCTTACCCCTATGACTTTTTTTTAGATAAAAAATGACATTTGCTATGAGTATATGAGATAAATAATTAGGATTGACTGACGTATTCAATT